CTTCGCCCCTCCTTCGCCCCTCCTTCGCCCCTCCTTCGCCCCTCCTTCGCCCCTGCACTCCCTGCCCAAGAATTCAGCCTTCCCCCGTCTTGTGCAGCGGCCACCACCCCCATCCGCGCGTAGCAAGTGCATCTTGAGACGTCTCACAACTGCACTTTCTTTCTACACGTCGCCCCCCCTGCACTCCCCGCCCAAGGATTCAGCCTTCCCCCGTCTTGTGCAGCGGCCGCCATCCCCATCCCTCCATCTCACCTGAAAAACCACCTGAGAACTCACCTGAGCCCCTCAAAGGAAGCCTGAAATCCCTCCCCCATTCTCAGCCCGAACACAGGATCCCGCACCTCCTGCACTCCGCCTGCGTCCCTACCCCCCCGCTCGTTCCCCCCACCTCTCCTGCACTCCCCCTGCTGCCTGAAACGAGACGAGTTCTGAGGCGCCGCAAGGCTCACCTGAGCCTTTCCCTCATCTGAGCCTTTCCCTCATCTGAGCCTTTCCCTCATCTGAGCCTTTCCTTCATCTGAGCCTTTCCCTCATCTGAGCCTTTCCCTCATCTGAGCCTTTCCCTCATCTGAGCCTTTCCCTCATCTGAGCCTTTCCCTCATCTGAGCCTTTCCCTCATCTGAGCCTTTCCCTCATCTGAGCCTTTCCCTCATCTGAGCCTTTCCCTCATCTGAGCCGTTCCCTCATCTGAGCCTTTCCCTCATCTGAGCCTTTCCCTCATCTGAGCCTTTCCCTCATCTGAGCCTTTCCCTCATCTGAGCCTTTCCCTCATCTGAGCCTTTCCCTCATCTGAGCCTTTCCTTCATCTGAGCCTTTCCCTCATCTGAGCCTTTCCCTCATCTGAGCCTTTCCCTCATCTGAGCCTTTCCCTCATCTGAGCCTTTCCCTCATCTGAGCCTTTCCCTCATCTGAGCCTTTCCCTCATCTGAGCCCCCTGAAAAGGCTTGAAAGCCCTCCCCCATTCTCAGCCAGCCCACAGGGTCCCGCACCTCCTGCACCCTGCCTGCTGCCCACCAACTCCGGCCCACCAACTCCGGCCCACCAACTCCGGCTCACCAACTCCAGCCCACCAACTCCTTCACCCGCCTTTCGTGCAACCCCCCTGCTAACCCCTCACCTGAGCTCCTCAGAGAAAGCCTGAAAGCCCTCCCCCATCCTCAGCCAGCCCACAGGGTCCCGCACCTCCTGCACTCTCCCTACTGCCCTTTCACCTCTTGCCCTTCATGCACTCCGTTTGCTTCCCTCACCTAAGCCCCTCTGAGGAAGCCTGAAAGCCCTCCCCCATCCTCAGCCAGCCCACAGGGTCCCACACCTCCTGCATTCTCCCTACTGCCGCTTCACCCGCCGCCCTCCCCCTCGCACCACCTGCACCCCGCTTGCTTTCCCCTTTCCCCTCACCTGAGCCCCTCTGAAGGGGCCTGGAAGCCCTCCCCCACCCTCAGCGCGAACACAGGATCCCGCACCTCCTGCATCCCCCCTGCCTCACCTGAAAAACCACCTGAGAACTCACCTGAGCCCCTCAGAGGAAGCCTGAAAGCCTTACCCCATCCTCAGCCCAAACACAGGATCCCACCTCCTGCACTCCCCTTGCTTTTTCCCTCACCTGAGCCCCTCGGAAGAGGCCTGAAAGCCCTCCCCCATCCGCAGCCCGAACACAGGATCCCGCACCTCCTGCACCCCGCCTGCTGCCCCTTCCCCCCCCGCCACCGCCACCACTCTCCCCCTCTCCTCCCACTCCTCCGCCCTGCCACCCCCTTCGGCGTATTTCCCTGTGGAATGGGGGGGGAGGGGGGGAGGAGGATACAGGATTCAGATTTCCCCCCTGCTGCCCCTCCTGCCCCTCCCCCCCTGAAGGGGAGGAAGGTAGAGAATTCAGATTTCCCCCCTGCTGCCCCTTCTCCTTTACCAGCCACCACCACCACCCTCCTCCGCTCCTCCCACTCCTCTGCCCTGCCGCCCCCTTGGGCGTATTTCCCTGTGGGAAAAGGCGGGAATGGGAGAAAGAAGGTACAGCTCTCCTGTTGCTGCTTCTCTGTTGCCTTTCCCCCCCTTGCCCACTCTCGCCCTGCCCACTCTCGCCTTGCCCACTCTCGCCCTGCCCACTCTCGCCCTGCCCACTCTCGCCCTGCCCACTCTCGCCTTGCCCACTCTCGCCCTGCCCACTCTCGCCTTGCCCACTCTCGCCCTGCCCACTCTCGCCTTGCCCACTCTCGCCCTGCCCACTCTCGCCCTGCCCACTCTCGCCTTGCCCACTCTCGCCCTGCCCACTCTCGCCCTGCCCACTCTCGCCTTGCCCACTCTCGCCTTGCCCACTCTCGCCTTGCCCACTCTCGCCCTGCCCACTCTCGCCCTGCCCACTCTCGCCCTGCCCACTCTCGCCCTGCCCACTCTCGCCTTGCCCACTCTCGCCCTGCCCTGCCACCACCTGCATTGCGAGCGCCAGCAACCTATGCGAGGAGAGGAAGAGGAGAAATAGGGGTAGATAATCAAATTCCCCCTTGTTTTTGTTCCTATATCCCTTTTCAATCCCTGCCCACTCTCGCCCTGCCCTGCCACCACCTGCATTGCGAGCCCCAGCAACCTACGCGAGGAGGGGAGGAGGAGAAATAGGAGCAAAGAATCGAATTCTCCCTTGTTATCGGTTCTTGGTCCCGTTTTCACCCTATGTCCAACTCTCGCCCTGCCACCACCTGCTTGACTAGTGTCAGCCAATGGAAGAGGCCCAAATCCATTCGTTAGCAGCATTCGCGATAGTAGTGCTAGAATTTAATCAAAGTCGTGTAAGAAACAGTAGCTACATTTGTATCAGGAACACTCGAATTGGCAACATTCGAATCAGTAACCCTTGAATTAGCAACAGTGCCAGCAGCAGCATTCGCAGCAGCATTCAACCTAGTTTCGATATTAGAGCATGCGTACCGCCAACAAACGAGAAGCCGTCGCCGATTGATACGGGCGCGTCGATTAATCCACTGCCGTCGTCGTCATCCTCGATATAGAAATTCCCGTTATCGTCCTCGTCGACATACAGCGATCTCACGAAGCGTACAGGTCCGCGACTAGCAGAAAAACGACTGCCTTGAGCGTCCGAGCTACTAACGCGGATAATGTTTCGCAACTTGATCCCGTGAAATGCGGAATGCGGCAAGAGATTCGAGCCACGTGAGGGAATAATGCGGCCAGTGTGGCTCAGAACTGGGTGACGTGCTCGTGACTGCCACGTGGCATCTGGGAGTTGAGATTGCCGGGTGGCCGGAAGAACTGACGCCAAGCCGGTTACCGGGTTACGCGCCGCAATCGACGACGCGAGAGGCGCCATGTCACCTTGAAATGTCACGGTTTGGGAGAAATCACCAGACAAGTTGATAAACGGTAGCACATTCTCGCTAAGGACAAACGCGTTTGTGAGTAATTTCTACAAACATGCGGAAACGAATTTGTTGATTACATGCTTTCCTATTTGAGTATCGGGTTAACCTCTGTAATGGATTCAATGGGTTCTATCAGTGTTGAGTGTACTCGTTCCATATCAAAAGCGAATGTGGATGAGATGGAGCCGCGAAAAACTATTCGCTGTTTGGGGCGAAGCGAAAGCGCACGATTTTGAATAGGGGTGGCGTTTCGCAAAATATCGACTGCGGGATTTATGGACGTTTGAGGTGCGCAGTTCCGTCAACGAATCTGACAAACAAGCGAAATGCGCCGTCTAAGTGTCCAAACGTGGTCAGTCCTTGAGCAAATTTCGCAGCCGTCGTCGCGCGTAGCTTTGACGAGCGCCACGGTTTGCGCACCGCAACTATCACCAGCACGGGAACGGTAACCAGGGCAGCCCGTAGCTCCCTAAATTCTTCCCAAAGAAAGGTTTTAGGGTGCGAATTGCGCAAGCAGTAAGCGGAAATCGTCAATGTGATAGGAATGATACCAAAAAAGTGGATGAAATTGAACGGAACAGAAACATTCCTTACCTCTTCGCCACATCCAGATCCGAATCGCCCATGACGAGGCGCGACGGTCCAATGTGAAGCATCTGATCAAACCAATTTCATCGACTGTGCGGAATGGAAATCTGATGGGGGGCATAGCGGAACTCCATAAAGCTTCCACGCAATTTTGTTCCTCCCGAAACCCTCGTAATCTAACCCAGTATATCCAGAAACGTTTTAAACCCAATTAAAACTCTTTCTTTACCTCCACCTAACAAATTGGCGCAAAACCATTCGCAGATCGCAGTCGACAGCTAATTGGAGCACCTTCCAAGCTCCTTCAGTCAGACACAGCACAATTGCACGTTCCACTCAAGCCAACAGTGCATATTCAGCCTACGCGCCACAAACTGGCCCCTTTTGCGCTGTCATCCTCCCTCCCCTCGCACCCTCCACAAACACCCACGTGGATTTCCGATCGCTTGCGCGACACGCGGTGGGACTAGCGCTTGTCCGTGCGACCAATGGGAAAAGAAGCCAGGGCGAGGCGATGCGACCTGCGGGAGCCATCAATCAATCCCCTCGTATAGGAATCGCAACGAACGAAACTCTTCGAGGGGAATACGGCCAGAGCCTAAGTCTAGCTGATTTAGCCGCAGCACGCAACTTGCCACTACCACCTGAGTCAGGTCAGGTAGGTTCGAGCCTAGGTTCCTTTGATCCGACAAGCCGTCCCAGATCCAAGCTCCTCATTCCCAGTCTCTATGGGTCCACGTGTCCTCCCGACCCGACCCGAGTAGCAGGCATTCAAGCCTACACAGGCTGTACTAGGAGAAAAGCCTCCCCTGTTACCAGATGAGCGACGTGCTTGAATGACAAGCGTTTCATCCCCCTGTTCGGTCTTTGAGACATCGCTACCTGAGGTGCCTCAAAAAGCATAGCCCCTCTCTAGAGGCTGCTCGTTCGTTCGTTGTCGTGAAACGTGCTTAGAGTAACACCCTTGTGGTCCTTGATGCCTCGCTCCCGACTTTCCAGGTGAAAGCTCTCTCCGCAGCTTTCATTCTCGACGGATAAGCCGGACTCGTCTGTCGTGGCCTGGTCGTGCCGCTCCCCTGGCTCTCTGTAGTTCTCCTCGTGCCTCTCATCTCCTCGTGCCTCTCATCTCCTCGTGCCTCTCATCTCCTCGTGCCTCTCATCTCCTCGTGCCTCTCATCTCCTCGTGCCTCTCATTGCCTGGGCCCTCACTCCTGGCTCGTTATTCCCCTCGCACCTCCCTTACTACCGCTCTCTCCTGGCCTTCCCGCTGCGGCTGCTCTCTTGCAGAGTGGTTCCATCTTGGGGGCATTATACACACCATTCTCACACAACGACCGTCATTACAATCGTCACCCACCGCAGTAAAAGCGTCGGCCTCTGCCTCAGCCGCACCCGGTCGCAGCGAAACCTCTCGCACCCAGTGCGTAGGCCCCTCGCCGCCCCTCTTCGTAGGAGTACGTCGCGCATTGCGTCGAAAGATGCAGCGAGTTTCTCCTAGTTGTTGTTAGCCCTAGAGTAGGAACTGTCCCTGGACTCTCTGATTCCCTAAGTGAGGGCGACGTCCCCATACCCGTTTTAAGAAGCCGCAGTACACGACACAGACAAACTTTCTCTATACTTTCATATTTTAGCCAAGCAGCACCGCGAACGAAGCATCGGCGGACAAAAGCGCAACACTTTCCGCCACAACTTCCCACGCGCCATGGGTCCCCCTCGGCGCATATGTTCTCCGCCATCGCATCCGCCCCCCGCCTCTCGCCTCCGCCCCCCCCTCCGCCTGCTCTCTCCCAGCACTCTCCTGCTATGCGTGCTCGCGACGTTCGTCCTCTCCGCATCACGCGCCGCAGCGTACGGCGCTCCGGGAGGCGCAATGGCCACGTTTTACGGCGGACCCGACGCGTCGGGCACTTGGGGTGCGTTTTACGGTTGCAAGAGGTTGAGAGGGGTTGGATCGTGGGGCTAAATCGAGCGAATGCTGTTGAGGGCCAGTATGTAGTAGAGCACAACTTGACGTTACCAGAGTCAGCTCTTCGCCAGGTTGCCTGTCCCTTTTCGCCTAGCAAGTGGTAACTGCGGACGATGAAGTCGTATGTCTAACGCTTTATTGAACGGCATTCGCTGCAGGTGGTAACTGCGGTTACGGGAATCTCGTGCAAGCCGGTTACGGCATCCTCGTCGCGGCGGGGAGTCCCCCTCTTTACAAGGGCGGGAAGGGATGCGGCGCTTGCTACCGGTACGTGTTCGCTCCTTTTTGTCACAACATCCAGTCTATCATGACCTCACGCATCGCCAGCTTTCTTGGTGTTGTTACGGTCCCCAATTTCAAGTAGAAGAGCCCTGAGGTCGTATGTCTAACTCTGTGACTCGTTAAGTCTATCATTTGTGGTGTTGTTACGGTCCCCAATTTCAAGTTGAAGAGCCCTCCCCTCTTGTCTCCCCCTATTCTTCCCGTCCCGGGCTTTTTCCCTCCTGTGCTCTCTTCTCTCCAACGCTTCCCCGCATTATTCCTTTTCTCCCCTTCCCCCGATCGTTTCTTTCCTCGAACGGGCCGTTCTATCTTATCACAGGATATCGTGTACCAACAGCACGTATTGCAACAAGGGCGTATCCATCGTGGTCGCTATAACGGATCTCTGTCCTGGCGGGGGTTGGTGTTGCCCCACCTGTCGCCACTTCGACCTAAGCGAACCTGCTTTTATCGCGCTTGCGAACCGCGCCGCCGGCTTCGTTCCCCTCGCCTACGAACAGTAAGTCTCCGATACGAGGGAACTCGCTACTGAAACTTCCACGTTCCATTTGCTACTCTCATTTAGACTCAAGCACACCGTTGAAGTTCGTTTTGTCGATTGGCCTTCATGTTATTTGTCCCCACCCCCTTAATATAGGGTAGTGCCCTCAATCAACACTCGTTGCTCATTTTCTTGTTTTCCAATCACAGAGTGCCATGTGTCTTCTCCAACAACATTCGCCTCACCGCTACCGGGTCGCCTTTTTGGCTGAACCTTCTGATTCGCCAAGTCGCGGGTCCCGGCGACCTTTCGCTTGTCGAGGTGATGGACTCAAATTCGCCTACGTGGAGACCGATGCGACACGACTGGGGTGCGAATTGGGTGTACGAATCATTCCTTCAGGCGCCGCTCAAGTTTCGCCTAACTTCGCTTACGGACAAACAGCAAGTGGTTACCACACCCAACTGCCTCCCGGCTGGTTGGGTTCCGGCGAAGGACTACGACTGCAACATTCAGTTTTCGTTCGCTGGCGACGGGATGGATGGTAACCACGGAGGGCCACATGGCGACGGTAGTGGTTTATCAGATGCCGCTCCCAGGAATCGAACCAAGGTCACTCGCCCCAACAAGAATAAAAAGTCTCCAGCCAAGAGTCCGGGTACCCCCCAGAGTCCGGGCAGCCCCAAAACTCCGGGCAATCCGAAGTCCCCCGGCACCCCCAAGTCCCCGGGTAAATCACCCAGCAAGCCTCCTGCGACCAATTCACCTGGCAAATCGCCCGCCAAACCTCCTTCCAAATCGCCACCGACTAAGAACGGCAACAACGGAAGCAAGGACAACAAGAGCGGGAACAACAACGGGAACAACAACGGCAACAAGAATGGCGGAAGCAAGAACACCAATAACGGCAACAAAAACGGAAGCAACACAATCAATGGCGGTGGCAGCAGCAGAAGCGGTGGGGACAATAAGGAAGGGGGGCATCCGCCTTACGTTGGGCACCATCCCGAGGGAGTGGGCCACAGACCTGCAGGTGTGGGTCACCACAAGCCTCGGAAAGGAGGCTCGGCATCAGCTTCGGCCTCGGTTCCAGACGTTGGGCACCATCCCGAGGGAGTGGGCCACAGACCTGCAGGTGTGGGCCACCACAAGCCTCGGAAAGGGGGGTCGGCATCATCAGCTTCAGTGGTGGTGGCACCAGCGGCGCCGAGTGCGTCTGTGGGTGTTGGAGTGAATTCAGTGGCTGTAGCTACAACTGCAGCAGCACCTGCAGCACCACAACACTAGAGTGTCATTGGCAGCAACAGCGGCAGTGGAGGTGGCCCTGGCAGTGGCGACAATTGCAGCAGCACTTGCACCACTGACAAATATATGAGGTAGGTAAGGTATACCACGAGTGTAACCACCAGTGGAGGTGGACAAATGGATGAGGTGAGGACATGAAGGGATTTATGTGGGTTGGTGAGGTCCTTACTTGGTTCACTATGGTGATACATGGTTCATTAAGGCGCAACACTGTTTCTAACAGGTGGGGGTTGGATTGCATTTTGCGTAGCACGAGTAGGTTTCTATGTTTATGGACAGTAGCCTTTTTCATTAGTCCAAGTAGGGGCATCTTTCGGGCTTGATTTATTCATCCCACTAAACTAGATTCGGGCTGCCTCTTTGCATCTGGATGCATGAGCAGCTTTTGCTGCTGTATGGCGTTTGGTAATTTCTTCATGCGCATGCTTCGTGCGATGAAGGCAGTAGCTAACTTGTAGGGGCTGTAGTTCTACTAATACCGTGTACTTGGTTTCAGTTTCGGCTTCCTTGCCTTCCATGTTCATGCACACATTCTTGCCAGGCTGGAAAGCAAATATGTCATCGCGAAAGTGTGAGGCTCGAAAAGTTGCGGGCCAGCAGCTTCAAAGTTGCTTTTCCGCAAAAAAGCTTCTGAAAAGCAACTTTGAAGCTGCTGGCCCGCAACTTTTCGAGCCTCACACTTTCGCGATGGTCTCATCTCAATCTATCGCTGAAAATAAGCCAGAATGGAATCCTGGACTAGAAAAAATCTACCCTCACCTAGAACCAAGCATGTGGTTGATAATGCAGCTTTGAGGCAAGAACAAAGGCCAGAATGGGGCTGATAATGCAGTCCCGCTGCTGCACATAGCACCTACGGTAACAGAAGTTGCATTACAAGTCTGAGTGGGGTTTCTCACACCGTAATTTAGAATAGAGTGGTTGCTAGGTTGGTTGAAGAATTTTGCCGCAACCAGTCTGTCTTAACCCGGTTACATCCGTGGTGTTTTGCGTTGTAAAATGCGTTTTTACCTCCAGAAAAAAAAAAAACAGACAAACAAACAAAAGGGCTGTATTGACTGCCTATCACCTAACCACACCATGAGGGTTTTGAGTTAGTCCCGTCTTTTGTGCTCGCGACGCCTTGTGCAATAACGAGTTTGCTCACGAAATTGTTGCGTGGTGGTATTGGTTTGGGATTGAATGTTTGGCGGGAAACTATTCTCCCTGCACGAGGAACTGCTCGGAAGCCTTGATTTGGCTTGCCAAAAAAGATGTTAATCTGCCTGTCTGAATCTCTAGCCGCAGAAGTTTTACATCGAGCGGTCAAAACAGGAGCTCCAACCGTCAAATAGATTTCAGTCTGCTGCCCGCGTTATTCAGTAGACGACAACGGTCGAGTGGCACAAAAGTTTACGATATTCCTTCACAGACGTAACCGACCACAGCTTGCTGCTGGCTGCAGCAAAGCAGAAGCGCCAGACGCACACGCAAATTGGGATGCAGGGATGAAATAGCTGCATTGGCCTAGTGGGGCTGTGTTGTAAAGCCTTTGTCTTAGGAAGGCGTTTCAAATAGAGCGGAACAAGTCACAATTTACAGCTCCCTGGTATAAGCCATCCACAGCGATAGTCCATCTTGATCATTTTCCATGACGTAACTTCCATTCTCCACTTTTATTCCTGGGTCAGTTACAGGGACAGTTCTTTTCAGCAAGCCGAGCGAGGGAGATAGTATTTACTTGCGCTGATTCACTAGCCTTCAATAGGATTGACGCACCGCTTTCAGTTTCCGCCATGGCGACGAAAGTTTACGTAATGTAAGTATCGACTAGCACCACGTCATCTATCGCCATTGTCACCGCACTTACTCTTGGGCCACCAACAAACTAGACAATTCCATGCACCCAAAACTTGAGGACAGAGTTCACCTCGCCTGATGTAGCACCCGCTTCCCTTGCACCACTTCCATCCGCTTGTCGATTCAAAATGACCCGGAGCAAAGTCATAAGAACTCTGCCTCTTCTTTCCTGCAGATTCTATTCCATGTACGGCCACGTGGCTGCATTAGCCGAGGAGATCAAGAAGGGAGCAGAGTCCGTGGAAGGGGTCGAAGTCTCCATCTTTCAGGTCAGCTCGCAACTATAAGACTATTCCATGTTAACCCATGTTTCAACATGGACAGTTGGGTAACACAACAGAACGGTAGCGGAAGAAAAACAGGTGTAAAGACTTCGGGTGGAATAATCGAGGAGTTCCAGAATAGAAACGCGTAGCATAGTTTCCTCCGAGAGGTTTGCTCTATGGTCGGCATTTTTGTTTAACGCTTCTGCATCTTCCATAGCAAAAGATGCGGCTTCCTAGCAGCTTCCTACTCGTTCTTTCTACTGTCTTGTGACGGAGGAATGGTGGCCGATGTGGCCATACTTCCATAATCTCAGGCACATCGAACTTTTCAGATACAATTACTTTTCTTGCAGACAATAATTCGCAATCCCATCTTGCAATGTGTTTCTGCCAACTCTCAAACACACCACGCGATTCCTTTACCTGTCGTTCCCTTGTGCTCTGTCTACAGGTTCCCGAGACTCTATCTGACGACGTTCTCGCAAAGATGCACGCTCCGCCGAAGCCGGACATTCCTTCAATTGACGTGCACAACCTCCCGGAAGCCGACTGCTTCCTCTTCGGCTTCCCCACCCGCTACGGCATGATGTCTGCTCAAATGAAGGCCTTTTTTGACGCGACCGGCAGCTTGTGGAGAACGCAAGCGCTGGCCGGCAAGCCTGCCGGTTTCTTCTTCAGCACGGGCTCGCAAGGGGGCGGCCAGGAGACCACTGCGTGAGTTTGAAATTACGAACATACATGCACCTGAATGATCTAGCGTCTTGTGATTCTTTGGTGGATTGACAGAATGAGTAGCACAGCACAAAGCCTCAAGGTGCCGTACCAGGTGCAACGACCTACCCCACCCCACCCCCCTTCTCCCCCATCCCTATCCCTCTCACTCCTTCCGCCCGCATGGAAGATGAGTGTCTGTGAAAATGGAGCAAAATTAGCTGCAGAGCATCCCACGTAGCATTTCTCTATGTGGTCTATGGCATAGTTCCCTCTGCAAGTACGCAAGAGTATATATCCATTCTCTCCTGCTCTTTCCCTTCACGTTCCCTCGCAGGCTGACTGCTGTGACGCAGCTGACGCATCATGGTATGCTCTTCGTTCCCATTGGCTACACCTATGGCGCCAACATGTTTGTTCTGGATGAGGTGAAGGGAGGGTCACCCTATGGAGCAGGCACTCTGGCCGGGGATGGAACTCGCCAGCCGACACAGATTGAGCTGGAGCAGGCATTTTATCAAGGCCAGTACACTGCCAAAATTGCTAAGAAGCTGAAGAAAGGTTCTGAATAAAGTAGGGCAAGCTTGCAATTCTTGTTTCCCTAGCTTGTGTGTGCGTTGGTGTTTCTTTCCCCTTCTGCCAGCAGTATACCTTCCCCAGTATATTCAGCATCTGGAAACTAAGGCTGTAAATCTGAATCTAATATTCTCACAATAGCGCTCTTTTTTTACTTACCATACCAGAAAAACTAGGAATAGTTTTTCAAGCCATAAGGAGCATCAAATGTACCAGGTTCAACATCCTCCAACCCACATGCTGACTGTTATTCCACAATCCCCCGTGTCCAGTTTCCCGCCAATATTCGTGGTCAGAGGGGACAGAAGCACAGAAAATTGAAATGGAACTGGATGACGTATGCGAAGCTATCAGTTGGCGGAGCGACAATTTCCAGCAGCAAATGTGATTGGCGAAGATGTATTTTCGCTCAGATCACCCGCCAACAAAGCGTCGAGAATGCCGTGCATCTGGGGTTCAAACAGACTCCGGAAAGATGTCCGCAGTTCCGCCTTCGCACTTCGCTCTCTCCCCGCGCGCATGCCATTTTCCTCCCCCAACTTCTGTTGACAAGTGTCGCACGACCGTGACGACGGTTTGCGCGGTCGCTGCGACATTGGGATTCAAGTCTGCGACTGCGACTCTTGACGGGAAAATCACCCTTTTCTCCACTCCCGCTTTGGAAGGTTAGCTGTTCGGTTAAACACAATCATACCGCATTACCGCTTCTGGAAACAGTGCACCAATCAGAACCGTAGTGAATGCACTCGAATGGACAAGGAATGCTCTCCGCTATTTCTGAGATTTTTAGGTTGTTTTTGTACTATACAGCAGCTTCCACTGACCAGAGGGTGTCAGAAGCGGCCCTTGATGGAAGTCACATTCTGAAACCTCCAATGCTGCTTTTGTTCCATAATAACTCTCTCAGTTGCTAGCTTCGACCATAGGCCTCTGCGCGTCAGCTCGAGCCAGCCCCCTCGTTTGGCTCTCGCCGTCAAGTCCGTTACGTCAAGCGCACTCCTTGGTGCGTCGTGCACTTCTTCAGATTAGGATTCGAAGGAAGAAGCAACGAGATTCGACATCTGAAGCGACGAAACTCGCCACGCATTCACCATTTCCCGAAATTCAGGCTCTGC